TATCTTAATCGAGACGTATAAAGAGTAGTAGGTCGAAGAAATCCTATATGCCCGAAAAAAGAAGCAGGGCCGAGGGCGAGAAGCACTCGTAAAATAGAGCGGGTACTATAAACCTACGTAGGAACCTCTAGACTATATCGCGGATACCTCCGCGCTAGACGACTTCGAAGCGAAATATAGACAAATCGAGGAGAACGACGGGCCTCTAAGAGATTAGGAGAAGAGAGGAAAACGGAAGAAATAACGTAGTAACCTAGAGTTTTTCCGCGGAATAACGGGTTTATAGATTCTAGGGACTTTTACTAACTTCTAGAGTTTGGATTTTCTTACTAACTTATTAGACTTAGAATTACTAGAATACTAGAGAAGGGAAACATAATTTAGAGCTAGGAAGAATTTTATTTAGGTATTCGTAAGTAAGTATCGGGTCTCCGCCCGAAATTAGAAGGTTACCTTAGGACTATAAAAAAAAATAATAATAACACATCCGAAGCTACCTAGAAACCCCTAGAAAACCCCCGGAAACCTTTACTCCTCTAGCGGACCTAGACGATTGTTGCCGAGATAGAGGGCGGTCGGAACGCCGCTAAAAAAGAGAGGTTAGCGAGAGAAAGTCGAAGGGTAGCGAGGAACTTACGTCTAAGTCTATTAAGCTACGATATTAGCGACGGTATTCGTTACCTCCGAGGCAATAGCGCTAAAACAAACGGTTAGCGAGGGTTTTATCGCGAGGAACGGAGAATCTTACTTAGATAACAACCCCTACGGCTAGAGAGACTTAAGGGCTTTCTAGGCCTTAAGAACCTTAAGAAGCTCGGAGTGCTTCTCGGCGATATTAGCGCGGGTCGCGCGGGTATAGCTAGCGTAGGCTACGTAGGCTATTTAAGGACTAAATAGTTAGCGAGAGATTTAATACGGGAATCGCGTTAACTTATAGTAGGGCGTAGGCAATTCTCTTACGAGCGCAATTAGCGTAAGCCCTCGAGCTAGCGGGCTTAAGAAAGTTAGCGGACCCTACGACGAATCGGACGGGAACCTTATAGATTAGTCGGCGCAGTCTTCGCCGGAGTTATAGCAACTAATATAGTAGATTCGACGAGCTATCTAGGATAAGTTAATTTTACGAAGGGAACCGAGGAGGAAGGGGAGGGACTTACGGTATTAGTAGTAGTAGTAGTAGTAGTAGAGGTATATATAGAAAAGAAGAAGAAGAAGAAGAAGAGGGAAATATTAATACTTATAGAAAGCGATACGGAAGTAAAGGTCGCGAAAGTAACGGAAGGCGCGAGTATAAGTAAGGCGCGTTTTAGGAAGGGGTAAACAGGTAAAAGAGCGCGGTTTAGCAGTCGCGAAGAAAGTTATAGCCCTTAAAGCCTAGGATACGGCAACCCCGACCGGAAAGTAGTAGAAACCCCGATCGCAAAGGAGGAAACTACGAGCGCGTTACCCTAGAGAAGCTTAGATAAGTACAGATCTAACGGTTGAAGTAATAGCGATAGAAACTACGGAGGGCTTTCTATCCCCGCTAAGGAAGGGGAGGAGGACGGGGGTAATATAAAGGGCTACGCCCTAGGTAGAAAGCGCTAGCCTTAGGCATTCGGCCTGCGCGACTCTAACCTACTACTTAGCGCTTAGCGTACCGCACAAAACTATTCGGATTTACGTAGATAGACTTAGCTCTTTATCGAACCTATTAAGTCTTATATCTAGCATCTGCGTACGCGTTGCTTACCTATAATAGCTAATATCGCTTCGTAGCGATAGTTACTATTTAGATTGCGACTAGAGCCCTTCTAGGTTAGTAAGGACGATAGAAGCACCTACTAGCTATTAATTAACAACGTATAGTATACTAATAGCGCTTACCTTATGTCCGCTTCGAAGTATATACGTATCTTTAGCTTTAAGTGTCGCCTTAGTCGCAAGTAGCGCGCCTCGTAGGCGGATAAGTCGAAGAAGTCGAACAATAAGAGGCTTCGTAACACTAATAAGGACCGTAACCTCTATATAGCGCGCCTAAAGGTTGAAGTATTATATAAGCCGTATAACGAGACTAACCCTGCTAGCAACCTCGTTAAGAATAGTAAGAAGGAGTTTAAGTGTATTAAACCGGTCGAATACTAGTTCTCGTACTAAAGTAGGGATTAGGCCGCTTATAACTACTCTCTCGAGACTTCTAACTATAATAAGTTGAATTCCTTCTAGCGGAAGGTAGTTAGTAACGAAAGGCAGAAGGGCTATAGAGCGGCGGAGGTAAAGGACAATATAATAGGTAAAAACGTACCTAGGCAATATAAGGTTCTTAAGGCTTCCGGAGGCCTTAGTTTTAAGCGAATGCACGTTCTTAATAGCGCTCGAGGCTTCCGCAAAGCATACCCTAATATCCGGTATACTAGCGGTCGATTAAGTACCTTAGTACAGTTGTTAGAGTTAAGAGATTAGTTATTAGAGTGTAAGTTCTTATTTCCTCGAAGTATTAAGAATTAGAGGTATTACCGCTAAGCATCCGTAAGCGGTTTAGCTTATCTCTTAGCGCGACCTCTAAGTAGCTAATCGGCGCGGGACTACCCTTTCTCCGATATTATCCCCTCTATTTTCCTTATTTAGAATCTTCCTCGAATACTAACTTATAATAATAATAGCACAATACCTATACGAATACGTCGAAGCTAAGCATTATTAAAGTAGCGCCGATACTATTAGATATGTATTTGCTAAACGGGAAAGACTAGAGCTTCTACAAAAATATAGGCGGCTTTGTTTAATAGATTCTATATATAAGACGAATTTCCTAGGTTAGAAGCTGTTTACTATTATAGTACGCGACACTACCGGCTCTTAGCGCTGCCCCTTCTATTTTCTTATAGAACACGAAGACGGCGACGTTATATTATCGTATATACTTGTTATTAAGAGATAGTGTCGAGAAAATAGTATAAGGTAGACTTCTAGGTACTAGGTTACAGACGATAGCGGAGCTAAACAGCGAGCAGTTAAAATCGCCTTTCTAGGTCTAATTGCAGGTAAGACAGAAGTAACCTATTATCTCTGCTATAAACACGTCGACGCTATACTCCGTAAGCGCTTTAAGGCCGACAAATACAAGAAGACCTTAGACTATATACTTATAGTATTAAAATTTAGAAGAACGGAGCCTAGTTATAACGACTCGATAAACAAAGCAATTAACGCGCTTCTACGCAACCTCTACGGCTAACCTAAGCGAGAACAGGTCAAATATATTAAGAACGAGTTTATTAAAACTAAGCGAATATAGGCTAATTTTATACGAGAATACTTACCTCTATATATATAGTATAAGACTACTAATCTATTAGAAGGTCTACATTCTTGCCTAAAGAAGGGGGACCTTAAACGCGCTATAGCGGCGTTCTCACTAAAGGGCATTGCTATCTACGTCGACAACGTTACAAATAGCTTCGACTATAGGGCTAATATCGCCCTTTATAACTTCCGCTCGAAGATGTACCCTATTGTCTATACTAACAAGTAGTTAAAGCCACTTCCTTACCCTATCTAAGCCCTTATTACTACCGAGATTGCGCTCGGTAAGCTAGAATTTAATACTAGCGATATTAGAGACCTCGATAACTATAACTTCTACGAGTGCGCTTTCTACCGGAAGTATTAGATTATATGCCGCTATATCTATATATAGAACAAGCTCTATAACAACCTCTTAGAAGAAGACTATACTATATAGATATAAGGCTAGTAGGAGAGCGGCTTCGAGTTATACTTTACTCGAGAGCGCATTGTTATTAACCTCGAGCTAGAGACAATAATAAGACTAGAGCGACGCGCTATTAAGATAAAGGAGCAGGTGTTTAATATCCGAGAGCGCTTCTATAACCTCCGTAAAGAGTTAGCTAATAGTATAGACGACGACACGGCCGATAAAGCACTTACTAAGTAGTTGTCTCGAATATAGGCGGCTATAGACCCTATTATTGCCCTCTTAGTTGCTAAGCTAGTTGTAGAGGTTTAGTTACTCGGCCTTTAGGTGCCGCTAGCACTATTACTGCTACAGCTATATTAGATAGCAACTGCACCGATAAGCTCTTATAATCGGTCGCTATAGGATACTTCGTCTATACCGTAGTATTCACTTACTTAACTAACGCGTAGCAGTAGCAGCAAGAGGTCGAGAAACGCGTAGAACAGGGCGGTAGCGGCGGCGGTGGTAGTAGTAGTGCGGCAGTGACGATAACAACACCTCGGATTGAGCGATATTGCTATACTACACGTAGACTTTAGCTTCATTGTAGCGATAGCGAGGTTGGAGGGCAGTGAGGGCAGTAAGGGCGAGAGGAAACGCGTGGTTTGTTTACTGAGATTCAAAACAGTGGAAGGTGCTAACAATAGAATCCGTGTCTCGTAATCTCCGGTTCCGGCAGACCCACTCTGTCCTCCTTATATGCAAGACCCAAATTTGGATGAGGCGCGCAGCTCCATACCAGAAGCTTCTGCTTGTAGAGTGGCTTCATGGAGACTGAATACTGCGGGGCAATTGCAGCCAAATCCACCGGTATTGTTTATGCAGGGCGCGAAGCAGCTCGGTGTTCGGTCCTCGGCATGCACCTCAGGAATACATTTCGCTTGGGAATAACATGAGCATCCGTGAGCATGGCCGAAGCAGCAATAGGCATCCCGGTTGCTGTACAATGCGAGAGCGATGTCCCACGTGTGATGATTCCGGCCAGCTTTGGGAGCCATCGACCAGGATGGGGAGGTGAAGATGAAGGGCGGGGTGAGGCTGTCAGCACTGAGTAAGGAGAGCTCAGATGCATTCTTCACGCTCTAGAACATGAGCTCGAGCGCCAATTGACACGTTGTGCCATTGACGAGTTTGTGTGCGTGCGCCCAGCTTTCAATTCGCATGATAATGCAGCAGCATGCGCGAGATCATGTTGGAGTCGCTCTTGGCGCCACTCAGTGACTGCGGCACAAGTTCCAGGCGAGACGAGCTCTGTGTCGCATCAAGCGTGCTTCCGTGTCTCCACGAGTCCTCTCAGACCGGTCAATCCCACCCAGACAGCTTCTTCCGTTCTGATAGTGCGACTTCCCTGTCCTGGGACCAGATTAACCCAGCAATCAAAGAGGTCTGCAGCTTTCTGAACGCCGGCAGCTTGCAGCTCCTTGTCCGCCTTCAATGCAGCTTCCAGTCCGGCGACACCTCCGAACACGACCAGCAAATGATTCCACGTCGGCTCCACGTGGTCAGGGCTGTCGTTCTGGATGATAGCACTGAGTGGTTTACCACGCTCGCTGGTACCGATGCTGACATCGTAGCCTCCATCAAAGGAACATTCGGTGAACACAGAGCCGAGCGATGCTGCCTGCCTCACATTGTATCCCCAGTAATACCCAGCCGACTCGCGAGGCATCTCAGGTGACACCGCGGTACCCATAAAAAGGCCATCCTGCGCGACGTCTGATTCCAGTTGCACAGTCACACGTGTATTGGAATCGAGTTCGACAGGTATAGAAACCTTCTGAGGCAGACCGCAGTCGACCAGAGTTCCTCCACTTCGCGCTGGACTGGTGGCTACACCCTCGCGAAACTCACACCACTCATCGCTGCGGAGATGATGGGGCATGTCTAAGCTTGGAAGAGCACCAGCAGTTCGCAAGTCCGGATGCATAGGGAATAGAGCCTTTCTCAGATTCGGTGGAGTTTCCAAATACGTCAGAACATGATACAGGAAGAAGTTGGGATCCGCGAAAGCTGTGTAGCCATCACGCTCCGGCGGTCGAGTCTCGGCTTGGCCATCGTCAAACACCACGATCTCGTCGATGCAAAAGACTGCGCAAGCGCGTGCGATTTGGCCGGCGAGACTGGTCTTCTGATCGGGAGTGACGGCGCTGTTGGTGAAGCATGGTTAGCATTTCATATTGCCTTGCCTTGCGCGTAGCTCGGTGGGTTGGCTGTTGAAGCATACTTGGCTATTATGCTTCCAGGAAGTGCAATGCTCAGAGTGTGGCTTCGTCCACCTTCAGGTCGGAATACCGCTGAAGGCTTCGAAGTATCTGGATCCGATTTCGAGGCGTCGATGTTATCGTCTAGCGTCCGCTTCTTTTCAGATGTCAGATTATTTTTTTGATCTCTACGGCATTTTCAGGACTTACCTTTGACTTGTGAGGCGCCATATCATATTGTAAATGCGAAGTCGTGAATGGTGATGTTGTTGATTCCTAGCAAGGAGCAAAAGTTTGTTTGAATGTCGGTTGTGTCTGCCGATCTTCGGCCGAATGACCCCCGGAGCCTTGAGGCCATCAACATCAACATTGTTGCATTTTTCCCTCTACAACCTCCTTCGGAATACCCCCAAGATACGCTGAGACGTTGAAGCAGCGATCGGAAGAGTTGCTCACTATTTATTAGAATGGAAGTGCGACTATTCTTATGACTAGATTCGCTGCTTACCCAGCGGTTAGACTGCTCCTTCTGTCCTTACTAAGGCAATCTTGCGCCTATGACTGACAAATTGAGCATGCCACGGTGTACGTTGGCTACTCCGTTCCAGAATTCATGTATATATGAACGCTGTAAGACTCGACAACAGGCTCTTCCGTCTTTGTGGACCCATCTCGAACCTCGACGCTCACCGCTACTACTAGGATCACTACATAGGTCCCGTCCATCTACTGCTCATATAAGATCCAATCCAGCTGTCCGTGGCGCCAAACAGCACTGTCAAAAGTTGCGCAGGACGCCTCCTCAACCCTACCTTCAGCATAAAGATCATACAGCTTCCCAACATTCCGAGACCTTGCAGCAATCACTTCTTGCCAATCTTCCCAAAGCCATTCAACGCTCTTCACCTCACCAGACGCGAAGTCATGAAGCTCAATGGGCACCGGGTAACTATTGGACTCTGACTGCAGAAATGGGCCTCTCTCACTAGTCACCCGGATTTCCGCGTTTTCGCAATTGATGGTCCAGATGAATGGGAGAGTTCCTGGGAAAGGAGGACCTTTACGGAAGTTGACGATCTTTACAGCATTTATCAGTAAATGCTTACTGAAGGACAAAGCTTCCTTATCACTCACAAGACTGGCTCCTTTCGCGACACGGCTTGATGCCTGCAGAGTTCCGTGTATAGACAGGAGGTCGGGAACGTCAGAAGTGTACTTTCCCTTCACTTTTCCATCCGCGCCATTGATCCTCTGTTCAGGATGTTGGATCTGGGAGTGAGAATGGAAGCTTTCGAATTCTCCTAGGACCGAATGAACGAAATCTATCACTATTGCATTGCATATTAGCCGCCAGCCAGCCAGCCTGCCAAAAGCGACCAGGAAGGAGCCTTACTATGCCCGAAAGCAATCGTGATTGGATTCCCACCGACTTTCTTCTCGAGAAAATACGCCAGACCTTCGGAAATCGAGTCGCGGTTACTGTACAGGGTGAAAGCCTGCAGCGAACTACTCAAAACTTTGCCGACATGTCCAGATGTGAGAAGTTCTCTCAACTTGACCGACACAGGCCCAACGCGTGCTTGGAGACCAACGAGCGTGCGCGATCCACTCTTGCGTGCAAGTCCTGCAAGCTCAGTGGCTCTTTGCAGATTTTCTGCTAATGGCCACTCCACGAATACAGCTTTGCCGGCTTCGATACTAGGCTTGATGGTGTCGTAGTGGACGTCAACACGGGTTGTGCAGACGACGAGGTCGATGTCTTCATCTTTGGCGAGATCTTCTGCTGAACCGTAGGCTTTGGTATCTGGAGGTAGGTTGTAAATTTCGATGGCGCGCTTGGCGGCGTCAACGCTGGAGTTCAATAGGGCTTTGATCTCGAATCGATCTCGACCTCGCTTAGATAGCAGGTATGGAAGATGTCCATCGCTGGCACTTGTCAGCATGTTGACTGTTGTTGAGCATCAACAAACTGTTCCCCCACACCGTGCCCAAGATGTCTTCGCCGACTTGGAAAGCCCGATCAATGCTATTCTGATCGGTGCCATTCTTACGAGCAGGAATGTCAGTCACTTCATGCAATCGGTCTTCTGTCGAGAGACGGGCTTATTATACTTCATGATTCTGGGTGCTCGTTGCATTTGTCAGCCCACAGACGATTCAGCTTTCAAAGCAGTCTCCTGTCACACAAGCATCAAGCGATCAAGATCCGAAGACCGCCTTTGTGCATTTTTCCTGCATTAATTCTTGTCCATCTTGATGCAAAAGGTGCAAAGCATCCGAGGGCAGCCCAAGCAACACCGCTGGCGACCGCATTGCGTGCGCCTCATCCGCACAGCATGCGCTCACATGCGTTCTCTCAGCTCAGCTCTCGCACACCATCCGTCTGCTTCCTTCCCTCAGACATCTTCATTCACGAGCAACAAACAGTGCATATACCATTCCCTCTCTTCCAAACCCTCCCAAAACGCCTCGGTATATCACCGCCGATCACTGCCAATCCTGGTATCAGCTTCAACAAGACCAATTCTCCTGATATTTAGCCTGTGAATTCCTCTTGATCAATAACCGTTTTATCGAACGATTGTGTATTTATGACTTGTTACAGGGATCTCAAGCATTCCCGTTTGATCCCGTCCGGAGATAGACTTCGGGAAGCCTCACGACTGAACATCCGCACTACCTGCCTACCCCAGATTGCGTGCTTTCTCCCATCCATGACCATCGAGTAGAGTTCAGTAGTCTTGCAGGTGTCGCTTTTGAAGATGACGAGTAGGATGCTGTGAAAGCAAAGTGTGCAGTTGACGCCATACCATAGAGACATTCAAAAAGCCTCACGAAGGTCCTCAGATTCTTTCAATCCCATTGTCTTTTTCCCTCCTGCTTGTTGTATTTCCACCACAGCCATCATGACCCACGAAACCCGCATCGAGCAACTCGAAGATCTCAAAAACATCTCAACCAACGCCGACTTCTACGAGAAGCTCGCATCCGGCCGGATCGCGACTTCAGAGGCTTCCGCATCGACGATATCTGGTGATGTCGCAAGCAAAACTTTTGCGCAACCGTACTGCGTCCCCGTGCCGATAACGTTGAAAGCGCAGCTGGGAAGTCCTACGGCTTTGGGAATTGGGGCGTTCGCTACTACGCTGACGACGTTGTCGTTCGCTTTGATGGGGTTTCGTGGAGTTACGGTTACGAATGCTTTTGTGGGGAATTTCTTCGCGGTGGCGGGGATTGGGATGGTGGGTATTATTATTTTTCTCTTGTCGTGCCGCATGTGGGATGCTGACGTTCTCTTCAAGGCGGTTTCGGCTAACTGGGAGCTGGTGCTTGGAAACACGTATGCGTACACGGTCTTGTTCGCTTTCGGGATGTTCTATCTCGGACTTGGAGTTATCGTGACGCCGTATTTTGGTGTTGCTGAATCGTATGGCGGCGCGCATACACCAGAGTATAACAATGCACTGGGGTTTTTTGTTCTCAGTAAGTCTCGATTTTCCTGCACGATGCTCGTGTCCCAGCGGCTGCTAACGATGGCGTATAGTGTGGGCTGTGTGGAACCTCTTCTTCTTGATAGGAAGCCTGCCGCTCAATCTTGTGTACATTGGCATTTTCTTTACGGTGCAGATGGCCTTCACTCTCGCTGCTGCTGCGTATTTCTTGGCCGCGGATGGTGAAGCTGAGACCGCTAGCGCTGTGAACACTGCTGCTGGAGCTTTTGCGTTTGCATCAGGTATGCTAGGCTATTACACCGTAGCTAACCTTATGTGCGCGGAATGCTTGCATTTCAGCTTCCCGATGGGTGATACAAGTCGGTTCTTCAGGAAGAAGCAGAAGAGCGCATAGGAGGCGGATAAGAAGGGGGCTGTCGCGAGGAGATGGAATAATGATCGATCCTAGAGATAGAAAAGTTATTTGTGAACGTCACTTGCCAACGATCAATTCCTTATTCTCATCCAGAACTGCCGTGGGTGTCATCAGTGCCTCTGTCATAAACCGCGTTCAATACTGCCGATTTGACGAGCCGTCGTGACGGTGATTCGAAGGTCTGGCTGCGGAAGCATTGACATGGGAAGAACAACTCAAGCAACTGCAGAAGGCGCAGTACATGCAAACCTGCCACCTCATGGAGCCGCTTGTATGCTCGCACAGCTCAGGATGGCTTTCCCATCAGAATCGGGCGAGGTGGCAGAAGGCCGATGCTCGGGTGCCTGACAAAGGGATCAACAGGCTCGTGCATTTGAGTCTTTCATTTCCGCCGCCGGAGACAGCTCCGCGCCAGAACCACTCTTCGATTCAAGATACGCCCAAACCTCCGCCTGTACCACGTTTGCATGCTTGTCGAAGTCCGAAATCCTCGATCGCTCGAGATATCATATGACTTGGAGCCTTTGTGAGGCCGACTACAATCACATGCCGCTTTACCAATCTCGAGCCATTCAGTTGTTCGATTCCTCCGACGCAGCAGAGCCCACGAAATCTAGACCTTAGACCAGCGCCTTCAGGCGGCGTCCATGGAAAAGCGAAAAGCGCATGCTTGATACTCACCAGCGGAGCTCGGATCAAACAGAGAAATAGACCAGCTTAATGCGGGCTATGAGAAGAAAGGGGTGCATATGTGGTGGAGGTGAAGAGCTAGGACCCAAGGACGAAGAGCCTCGTGTTGCTCGGGATGGAGGATCATTGTGGCATTCTGGCCTAGATACCAACCATGTACAGCACGCGATGCTCCTCATGCTGGTCTCGGATTGAGTGTCGATGATCGAAGATCATCCAAAAAGCTGCTATCTGCATCGCAAACCGTCATGCTCCGGGCAAAGGCGACGCCTTCTTCAGAGCACCGCAGACATGAGCGCCTCCTCGCAAGATTGCAATATTGGAGGTCTGACAGCCGCGTCTGTACCTACCAGTTCTGGGAGCCTATTTTGTTGGCAATCAAAAGCTGCCAATCCGCTAGCAGCAGATAACATCCGGCCATACTATGCAGTTCGAGCAGAAGGGCTTGCCATTCCGCCTTCGAGCGTCGATTGCTGGCAGCGAAAGGAGACGGTATACGATGCCGCGGGAGCTGGAATGAGCCCAAGCCAGCAAAAGAGACCACCTCAAGCAGACAAGAGTCTGCTATATGGGCATGGTGCCGGAATGTGCCGATCTGAAATGCTCCGCTCATAGACCCCGGTTCTCTCAAGGTCTGGCGAAGGCCTCTGCATCCAGATATGCGGTACCGCAAACACACTTGCGACAGATCCTAGCGATCGCATTACGGGTGACTGGTGTCGTCCTTCGATCGAGTTGGAGTGGAATTCAAGTCCTGTCCCAAGCATTCTGCCAGAAGAACGCTCGGTCTCGCTGGTCAATTGAAGCAGCATGACACTCGGTACATCCCAGGCAGGTCGACCTTCCGAACCATTTTCGTCTACAGCTCTGGAAGACGATGCGATGTGGTTTATGGCATGTCTTGTAGAATGACTTTGCCTTCGTCCACACGCAGTGATCATGAAGGATATTGGGTTGATGTCTATCGATTCGGAGAAGCAGAATTGCCGCAGGTCGAGCGCAAAATGCCTCATTCGGACAGAACACTTGAGCAGCATGAGTCTGAGCTTCCTCAATGGAGCATTCTTGGGCGAATGCCACAACGATATCATCAGACCGTTCGGGCTGCGAATCAGACGTTCTGCGAACAGCTTTGACTGCAAGCGGCGGTGGTACTCATGTTCCACAATACCACCTCTCAACGGCGCAGTGTAGCAGTCTGAATTGCGATCAAGGCGTGCTCAGAAGATTCTCAAGCATGTGGCCGCACGCTTCCAGCCCAATGTCAGACCAGCAATGAATTGAGTTCTTGTCGAGTAAGCAAGACGAGGGGAGACGAAAAGCTTTTGTCCCACACTGGAGCTTTTCGCAGCCTGTGCTATTGTCCAACCCATCGACCGGCTCGAAGGGTTGAGTGTGTTCACCGCATGGTGTTACGCAGTGGCCCTCGATCGTGGGCAGAGAAAGGTACCGCCGACCGAGTGGTATCCGTTGGCTCGTGGCAGGCTCCTCTCCGCTCTCGGCCGACAAACCATATTCCCTGCTCTTTCTTGATGCCGCCACGAGCTGGTCACTCATTGCAGGCCCAGCGATCGACCAGTTCCGACGCTGCACAACCTCCTCTTGTCTTCCTCGCGCCTTTGTCGAGCCATCTGTTATCTTGAAGCTTGAGCAAGGCTTTCCATGGTCCGTATCCCCCACAGATTCTCATCCTGCCTGCTCTGCATCTTTGAGTTGGCTCAGGATGGCCTGGTAGCTTTGCTCATTGCACTGCACAAAAGCAGTCGTCCGGCTCAGGCGGATTCAAAGTGCGGCTTGGGAGGTTGTCGAAGCTGCAAGACAATGCTCGATGATGGCGGAAGCGCTTTGGAAGATGACGATTCTGTGTCTCTCGCTCTCTCAATCGTTTCCTCTGCCTCATTATCCTTGACGTTTATCGAACGGAGCTCTGAGTGCGCACTCGTTGAGATACATCGGTGTGTGCCCCTCGTGAAGGAGCGACCTGTCGAGAAGATGGCGGGATTTCGTTGCAGCGGCCTTGCGCGAGAGGAATCACCATGTTCGAGACTGGTCGACTCATGCTATTGCATCTAGGCATTGCGTCTGCGTCTGTGAGAAATAGCAATCTGGCCGTTGGAATGGAGAGGCTCAAGACTCCGCCGGAAGACATCAAGTCAGGGAAGCTTCGGCATTGCTGTACGGAAGGAAGATCACAACGCAAGGAGAACAAGACAAAACAAATTCGCAACGATATTGCTATTTGGCAGCTATCTGCTCAAAGACTGGCAATGATGATGGGCTTTGCTATCCCTTCTATCATCCAGCCTCAGCTTCTGTTGCTCCCCAAAGCTGGTCGAGAAGGCAGCGGAGGCCAGTGGCAGCACATGCCACGATTCTGCATGCCATCTGCGTTATAGCAGCTGTACGGTCATAACCGCTTTGTTCTTCGCTCCGTCACAGATTGCTGTTGCTGTTGCGCCTCATCCAGGCCTTCGTGTGCATGCAGGACCAAAGCCATCAGCGTCCTCCCTCTCCAGCGTCGATGCTATGCTTCGCAGGCTTGAGATCTGGCGAATCTTCCCAATCGCCGTATCATCTGGCGCAAGTGCATCTGCCGCAATAAGCCTGCTGTCGCGGGCAAGCTTGGGAGTGATAATTTTCACGGCCAGCTCAAGGCGATTAGCCAGCCTCTTTACTGCTGGGCTGTCGCTAGTTCTTGTCGGACTGATGCCACATTGGAGACTGTACCTTGCTACATGCCTTGCTGGCCAAAGCCTCAGATGTTCCTGCATGTCGTTCCGGCTCTCAGCACGCACGACAATGAATAGTCAAGCTGAGACCGGTGGCTGTCCATCAGCACTGCAATGGCTATGCTTCTATCGAACCTACGCTTCCTCTGGCTACATAAGAAGCTCTGTCTTGTCTTGTAGGACATGTAGGTAAAGCCTCCCATTGTCATTGTCATCTCTCTTGGCCTGGACCCCTCCATAGGCCTGCTGCAGCCGTTGCCTGGGTGTGTCATGCTCGCGTGAAGGAAGCTGCGGGCACTGCCGCCTCGCCGCGAGATCAAAATCTTCTCACACCGGCCTCCACTCTTCCTTCCGCACACCCACACAAGAAAAGTACGTATACCCCCATCATGCCCCTTATTGACGTTCATACAGCAAGCACAAAGTGATAGCAGCAAGTTCTGATGGCCGCCTTTGCCTGGATTGGCTCAGCCTGACCAAGGTGATTGAGCGCCTCGCGGCAAACTGGGCCTGGACCTGGACTCATCCAGCGCCGGCCTTCTATGGCTGTCAGGTAAGCAGTATCATCCCTTCACGTCCACCATCACCATCATCTGCTGACACACGCTCACAGTATCAGCAATATGCTGTGCGTTGCGTTGTCGCGCTTCGACTCCGAGTGGCAGTCACCACCACCGAGTCAGCCGCCTGCCAGCCACGGCTCACGCTGGCTGGCAAAACAAACCTGGTGAGCATTCTCCGCTTCCTCTCGATAGTTTTATCCACTGACACGCTTCACAGCGACAGCCAACTTCTGCGCATCACGCTGCAACACCGTGGCGACTCGTCACCCTGCTTCAGCACCGAGCAGCTGCGGTGAGGTGAGGAATCACTCAAGCCTTTCACGCCCGTCCACCGAGTATCGATCCACTTGGTGAGTATCTCGACCACTTCACGTCGCAACATTCAGCTGACCTAGCTTCGCAGCGCCTACAGTACTCTATGCAGTGGTCTGTCCTTTCAGGTCTGCTAAGCACTGCCTCGCATCGCTGAGCTGGCGTTTCTGACGGCACACATCTCGTCGAGATGGTGATGCTCGATGCACCTGCTGGGCAAGCCAATGGCCGTCTGCTGCCACACGAGCTACAATGCCACGTTCCGCTGCATTCTGCTGTGGGTCTATTCAAGCCTCATTTTCGACTTTGACACGCAAGAAGCACCAGTCACGTCAATTTTCGCACCACAGTCTGCTCGGCGCTCTCCACAACACCACAAAAGGCATGAAAGCCCGAGCACTGCTTCAGCTTTCGGCCTTGCTGCGATCATCAAGGGCTGCATGCCACCTCCAGCAACAGAAGCCAGCACACAGCAAGCGCAATATTTGAACCATCTACAACATCCCCAGACACCGTGCACATCGGCCAAAGATGTTCCCATCTGGCGCCACCTCGGAGCTTGCACCTTCCTATTTGGGCACTGCTCGCGCAAGGCTGTGCCAAGCTTGCACCAGATTCGCCAAGCACTCCAAATGCACCTCCTCCTCCGCGCCAAGCCGTGTCGAGCACGCCAGCAGGAAGCTGCGTCTCTCCACTTGGCTGCCACTGCCATCATCTTTCAGTGGCACGCGCATCCTCAAGACAAGAGACGCCTACACTCCGTCCCAACTGCTCGCTATTTCGTCAAGGCGTTCGTCTGTCCAGACAGCCTTCGCAGAGAGGCTTGCAGCAGTCTTCACATCGACATGCACTTTCAAGCTCACCACTCGGTGCATTGGCAGTTCCTACACTTCAGCCTTGGGCCTACAGCAGCGGTGTCTGGCACAGTCCACACGTGCCTCATGCTCAGATGCTCCATCAAAGGCACGCAGCTCCTCTCAGGACTAGCACTCGCCTTGAGCAGGCTCAGATGGCTCTCACACCACGCCTCGAGCCGTCTGGCAAGCCATGCGAGTTCGTACACCCACAGCATTCAGCAGATCCAGCCATCATTCTCGCTGGTGTCAAGCGCTCAGCCTGCCTCAACGCTGCCTTACCACTGCAGAGGCGTAGCTGCATGCTATTTCACGGTCAGCTCGCTCGCCTCCTTCGAACGCGGTGGCTGCAGTCACTTTACTGGCATCAGTGTGGCGACAAGTTCACTGCAACTTCGCCAAACGTCGAGCAGATAACAAGGCTCCCTCCTCACGCCTGCTCCAGCGCAAGAAGTCTCATTTGGACTCTGCTCTGCATCACGTGCGGCAGCGAGAAGTTTCTGCGCTCACCTCCGAGCTCGCCGAACGCGCGCCTGCCTTCAGTCGCTCCAGGGTCCACTTCACCGGTCAGAGGTGCCTGCTGTTTCTTCAGCAGCTCCATCGACTTTCTTCGACTTCCATCCACCCACGTTTGTCTCAACAAACATCCGAGCTCCTTCGAGGCCTCTTCGACGCACGTCCGCCTTTGACACCAAAGGCCCCAGAACTTGCGAGCGCTATCACTTTGTGCTTGCTGTTGCTCCACGCGACGCGGTACATCTCAGAACGGGTCCGAGCTTTTTTCCAGTCTGAGCTTCTGCTGACTTTTTCTACTTAAACAGTGCCCGCGCCATCACAGTCTGGTGAAGACAAGAACCTCCAACCACACGAAGGCAACCCAGACCACTGGAAGCGCAATCCTCTCGGCAGACGCTATCAATTCGGCGGACTGTCCAATCCATTCCGCAACGTTGACTTCGAGAATCCCTCTGTTCAAGGCAACGAGGATCTCCACGACACTGCATCAGAGTCATCTGAGTCATCTGCATCGTCTGCATCATCCCCATCAACCCCACCATGGCAACGCATGAGGTTCCCGATGGACTACTTTCCACCGCGCCGCCAATCTCCACCGCGCCGCCAATTGCCAACGCGCAGCCAATCTCCGACCGAGTCGACTCAACAGCAGGAGACACTGACGCAGCAGCCGCCAAAGCTGCAGACGTCGAGCGCGCCCGCTCCGCCGGCTGGACAGAGACAGTCGCCTTCGACTACGACGCCTTCCAGCGATCAGGAGGCAACGACGGCAACTGGCTCGGCCAAGGCGCCGTCTACGAGTGGTCCGGAGAATACGGAGACGTCGCACCCCAAGTCCCAGAACTAGAGGCCATTCTCTTTGGCTCTGAGTTCAAGCTTCGTGAGGGCACCCACCGCACCAACATCGACGACATTGAAGTCACTGTCGAGGGACCTACGAAGATCGCGCCCATCAAGAATGTAAGTTTACCTCCACCACCAATCGCTCCCCAGCCTGCTCACATTTGCCACAGTTCGCCGATGCCGGCCTGCATCCAGTTGTGCTGCAGAACATCGCACTCGCCGACTACAAGACACCAACGCCCATTCAAGCTTACACCATCTCCGCCGTCCAGAAGGGTCACGATGTCGTTGGCATCGCACAGACTGGTGAGTCGTCACCGCCTATACCCTGTTTCCTCCCACACTAACACGCGCAACAGGCAGCGGCAAGACCGCAGCATACCTCATCCCCATCATCTCTAAGCTCATGGGTAAGGCCAAGAAGCTCCAGGCGCCACGCCCAGACACATCCCGTGGCACCTACGATGCGCGTACTCAGGGCGCTCGTGCAGAGCCTTTGGTCCTCATTGTTGTGCCAACTCGTGAGCTCGCTATCCAGATCTTCGACGAGGCGCGTCGCATGTGCTACCGCTCTATGCTTCGTCCGTGTGTCGCCTATGGCGGCTATCCAACGGGCGCCTGCCTCGAAGAACTCAGCAAGGGCTGCGACATCCTCATCGGCACTGCTGGCCGCCTTTGCGACTTGATGGAACGCCCAGAGAAGCTTTCTATGAGCCGTGTCAAGTTTACGGTCATCGACGAAGCTGACGAAATGCTCGACACTGACTGGAATCCGCAGCTGAGCAAGCTCATGTCTGGCGGCGGTACGTTGTTGCATCTCCTTCAATTGCGCGCAATCTTGCTGACTTCTTCGCAGACACCAACGAAGACGCTGACCATGTCTATTTCATGTTCTCTGCTACCTTCCCCAAGGGCGCTCGCGAGATGGCGCGTACTTACATGGCCCAAGACTATGTTCGCGTGCGTGTCGGCCGCGCTGGTCAGGCGCATAAGAACATTAAGCAGGAAATCATTTACGTCGAGAAGGATGCCAAGCGCCAGGCTGTCTACGACTTGCTTTTCGTCTCCAAGCCGGAGCGCACACTTATTTTCTGCAACTCAAAGGCAGTCGTCGATCTCCTTGACGACTTCCTTTACAACAAGCAGCTGCCCACCACCTCCATCCATGGCGACCGCAACCAGCGTGAGCGTGAGGATGCCATGTAAGTATCCCTTCCTTACCCTTCTGTATGCTGTCGTACTGACCTGGTCATAGCCGCGCCTTCCGTACTGGTCGTGCTCCGATCCTCATCGCCACTGGCGTTTCTGCTCGCGGCTGGGATGTCAAGGGTGTCGGCCACGTCATCAACTTCGATCTGCCATCCGCTGATCACGGCGGCATCTCCGAATACACCCACCGCATCGGCCGCACTGCTCGTATCGGCAATCAGGGCCTCGCCACATCCTTCTACAATGACCGCAACGAGGACATTGCCCAGGACCTTGTCAACGTCCTTGTTGAGTGCGAGCAGACCGTTCCAGACTTTCTCGAGCATCTCAAGCCAGAGGAGGGTAGCAAGTTGCAGTTCAACGATGACACCGACGACGAGGCAGAGGGCGAGGATGGTGCTGGCTTCGGTAGCGCTGAGGGCGGCTTTGGCAGCGCTGAGGGCGGTTTTGGCACTGCCGATGACGCTCCAACTTCTGGTTGGGGCGCTGACGCTGGCGCCGACGCTGCTCCAGCTGCTTCTGGTTGGGGTGCTCCAGCTGAGCCTGTCGACACTGGCTTCAAGCCTGACGGTGGCGCTCAGCAGTCCTCCGGTTGGTAAGTGCTTCAGCTTACACACACACATACGACATGGTCCTCTTGGGCCAGCATGCATACCAAAGCACCGCACAGCGGTTGCTCTATGACTTCGTGAGATGCATTGAGGCGCGCTGCGACCTCTAAAAGCATTGGACATGAGATACGAATACCACACAGAAAATGGTACGAGAGCTGTACCATAGAAAACCACAAAAAAAGAGACTCGGATAGCAGAGAAGATGGTACGATAGCGGTACCATAGCGAACCACAAAAAATGAGAACTGGTTTCTCCCAAAAACTCCTTCCTTCCCTTCTCCGCTCAATTTAGCTTCGCGTTCTTCAATCCCTCTTCACCGCCTTCTGTTGTTGCTCAGTTCATGCACTCTGATGTACTTCATGCTCGCGATCCGTAACAACTGCCTGCCTCATCAAGGTTCGTGGTGCTTGCTCTGCAGTTCACGGTCTTTCAACGTGTTCTGCAGACTTGGCATGCTCATCAAAGGCAGTCGCGTACTTCCACAAGTATGTATAAGTGAGAAGGATGAGTGTAAGAGCTCACGATGCTTCGAAGGGCTCGGTATGCATTGTGTCCCCCCCAAGTACGTATAAAAATCTATGAGCGACATCATTGAGATCTATGGGCGTACAGCGTGCAATGAAAATTACTGTTCTTTAACACGTCCTTACAATCAAGATTGAGAACAGTCCTCGTATAGAGGCCCTGTGCGCTAAATTTTCTTGTAATCGGTAAGTATCGTTGCTGTTTATTTCTTAGATCTTATAGAAGGTAAGAAATCTGAAATCTAAGAAAATCTAGCGCTAGCTCTCGAGAGTTTAGACCTTGGTTATTCTCTTAGTATAGTCTATAATCAATCCGGGATTGCAATCTAGATTAGCTTAGCAATCTAATCTACTAGCTTATTCCTACTAACTACTAAGCAATCTAATTCTAATCTAATCCGGCCTCTTTCTAAAGCAATCTAATTTAATTTAGCCCTTTTTAAAGCAATCTAATTTAATCTAGCCTTATCTAGGGGCTAAAGGGCTAAATTAGGTAGGCTTAGCAATTTAATCTAATTTAATTTAGCTTATTCTTGCTAATTTAGCAATCTAATCTAATCTAATCTAGCCCCTATTAAAGCAATCTAATCTAGGGATCCTAGTAGCAACCTAATTTAATTTAGGGGGGTCTAGATATAGGCTCGATATAATAAAGTAGATATAGCCTAGGCTAGTAGGTTAGGTTACTAAGTATATATATTAAGGATAGCGGCGCTACGGGATGCTTTAATATTTAAAAAGATATAAGATTTAAGAACTTCGAGTAAATTTTTTTTATCTTTAAGTCTACTACTACGTTTTTTATAGTTCTACTACGCTAAAGGCTAAAGGGGTAGTAAGGAGAGGATCGAAGTATCTTAGTAATACGCTTTGCTAGGTTGTCGATAGAAGCAAGTACTATATAGAAGTAGGAAAGGATAATACTAGTAAGTCGAGGAGGAAGTATTAGATTTATATCCCGTCTAGCACTTGCGGGATTTTCTAGCTACTTGTAATCTTACGGAATAGTACTAAACTCTACTGTCTAGTACCTTTTACTCCAAATCGATGCGGAGCGGAGGGCTACTTAGGAAATCTAGGTCTAGACTCTAGAAGATACTTTAGTACCGCAATTATCTAGTTCTAGTTCGAATCCTGCCTGCCTTGTACTCACTCCGTTCTATTTGAATGAACTAGTTATTGAGATACCTTAGTCGTAAGAAATCCTTGGAGTCGCTTATGTATGTAGCTCGAAAGATTCGCCGTGGCTTGAAAGGAGAGATGCGGAGAAGGCGGAGGGCAAGAGAGCTGAGCGGAAGGGTTTAGGTACTTACGTCTGAGTGAAAGAGCTATCAAAGTCTTTCGGGTCAGGATGCTCATGAAGTCCACCTTCTCCACCCACATCTATACAATCACAATCAACCAGCCAACCGACAACGCCTCTATACCCATCCCTTCCCCTTCCTTCCACAATACTCAAAACCACCTCCTCCCCACCATCTTCCCCACCCTCCTCTCCCCCTCAAACTCCTCCCTAGGCCCCAACACCCCAAAAACCCCATTCCCCTCCCCAATGAAAAAATCCAAATCAAAAATCCCTCCGAAATCCCCCACACAAAAGCTCGCTCTGACATGCACCCCTCCCTCCCTCTTCTTCGCCTCCTCACTCAAAAAAGGTCCCAAGAATTGAGTGACTTTGGATGCAAGGGCGTGAGGAGAGAATTTCGTGCGTAATTCTCGTTCCCAGTTGTTGGATTCATCATCGGTGATGCGGACGAGAGCGGTAGAAGAGGAAGAGCGGGAATCAGTCCAATATTCGATTATTTCCGCCGCGCGATCGGAAGCTTCGAAAGTGGTGACGAGCCAGAAAGATAAGATGAGAGATTGAAGGTTATGGAGATGTTTCATGGAAGAAAAAAGAGGGGTTGTGATAGGGGTGGGGGAGAGGAGGATAGCGGAGCCTTTGTAGCCGCAGAATTTGAGTTCGCGGATTGTGGAGGCGTGGGAAGAGGTGAGGGTGTGGAGCATGGGGGGTGTGTTTGTCCAGCCGTATTGTGGGGAAAAGGGGGAGGGAGGGGTGGAAGGGGGTTGGGAGGCGAGGGTGTAGATGGTGGATTTGTCTTCGCCTTCGAGGTCCATGCGTTCGTTTTCGTCGATGAGGTCGCGGACGTCTTCGCCGTCTTGGCCCCAGGTGTTGCCGAGAGGGCTTGAGATGCCAATCATGACGATTTTTTGCAGAGGAGAGGCGTGCAAGGCGCGGACGATCTCTCTGCGTTCGTCGCGTGGCATGCCGCCTTCGATTTTGATGCTTTGGACTTTTTGCATCCTGGCTGCGAAGCTGGTGATGAAGTGTCTCCGCCGACTTCTGGCTCCGTAGTCGTGGCATTCGTCTTCTTCCGTCGCTGGCTCACCGTAGTTCCTGAACATCGTGTCGACTCGTAGATCTAGCAGCGTTCTACCCAGATTCTCAATCACTGCATCGACACGCTCGGAGATATCGGCAGAAACGCCACGAGGTGAGAAGAAGTGATCCATTGGCCAAGCCAAGCACTGAAGATTTGGGTGAGCTTCCATAAACGCCAGTCCAGCAAGATCGAGTGCCACGATCCCGTTGTGGGGTGGTAGCGTCTCGGGGGTGATTCCTGGTATCTTTGCGTGATCCAGGAGGTAGAGACCAGGTGGCAGCATATTGTCTGGGGTGACGCAGTTCCTGAACTGAAATGCGCGCAAGTGCGGAAATCGGCACTTGAAGAGATCCAAGTAGAAGGAGCACCAATTTGCAAAGCCCTTCGAGTCCTGCGGTTGAGGAGTGTTGAGAACCCAATCCAGATTCAACGAGGTTAAAGTAGCGCTCGCATTATGAAGCATGGCGGTCGCCACTTGCGCAGAAGAGACCCTTTCTCGCTGCATTTTTGATAAAGCCGGGCTGTATGGCCGGAGCGAGCTATCGGGGTCAAGCAAGTTGCCACGATACGCCATCTCAGCTCGAGCAGCCCTTGAGAGTTTGGCGCGTGCAAGGTGCGGAGGTAGATCAGTGAGGTTTTCCAGAGCCTCGAAGATGCGCTCATCAAAGTCGTGCGATGCTTCGAAGAGCTCTTCAAGCGGATGTCGATCGAGCGGCGAGCTGACCCAACCTGGATCTCGACCACTCCGAGCCAACTCTTCCCTCCTCTTCTGCGCCTCCAACCACATCGAGTAGTTCTCGCCCGCCTGTGCTTCCACAAGTACAGAATTGCAAGTCGTCCGATAGTGCCCGCCAAGCCCATCCTGAAGCTCATGATACACCCCTCCTCTGGAATACACAAATTGATCCCCAGTAATCGTCGCATTGACATGCGTAGTCCCAGGCCTAAGCGGTAACCGTCGAAACCTCAAACTCTCCAACCCCTCAAACCTCAACCTCTCAGCCAAACCATACCGATCCGCCTCCATAAACTCCACCAACCCCGTCCCCACCCTACAATTCTCAACCCACAACTTCCTCACAGCCACACAATCCCTCCTCTCCACATCAAAAAACCCCCTCAAAATCCCATCCACAATCCAAGGATGTCCCAAAACAATCCTGACAGTACTCACATTCCTCATCTCCCTGACCGCCATCTTCACCAACTCCACCGTCCTCCAATCACTCGACAACGTCTGCGAACAAAACGGCAGGTGCGGCAACTCATTGAAAATCCCGGGCGGACTCAAATGGCAATGATACGTGAGCGTGTGCACTTCCCGGGCGATCCAAGGCTTTTGGATCAAAATGAGCAGTTTTTTCAGCATGGGTGTGTCGTCGTGTTCGTCTGTGGCATCGAGGTCGGGATGGTAAGTGCGACAATCCGTCAACTCTAGGTCGCGCCAGATCAGAGGGGTGGCGAGTTTGTAGTACCATTTCGATGTGAGGTTGAGGGCACAGAGGTCTGGGCGGGAGAGGCGGGAGAGAATTTCTTGGATGAGCTCTTCGGGGAGGTCGTGGAGGTTCATGGTGGGCGCATTCTAAACTGTTTCTTTCTGTGCCGATTCAAGATTTCATGTGATCAATCTTCGAAGGTTGTGTTGGGGTGTTTGAGAACATGCCAAGAAGGGAGGCTGCGGATGCGATCGGTCCGGCCACACGTCATGCCGAAGCCGAAGACAACGACATGGCAACTGCAAACAATCACAATGCTGACCTAAGCAACACCGAAACATGCCAGCACCGTAAAGAACAGCAAAACGACACTCCCTCAACACAAAATCTCACTTTGAACATATGCGCAAACACAGAAGTTGTCATAACAATGGCAAAAGGAACGGGGTATATATATCAGGTATATCTCTGCACAAGTCGCAGCAGAGCATGCCGACCCAATTCTCTTCCTTCAATTCTTATCATAAACTCCCCCCAAAAAACAGCCGCCCACCCATCCACTCAGCGACAGGAAGAATAAAAAAAGTGATGTGAACAGACAGACATTAAGTCGAGCTGCGCCGCCTCCATAAAAAGAACTCCTCTTCCTCCACGGGTGCAAAAAAGATAACGTGCGCCGATATCCTATTCCCGATCCCATGGCCATACGTACGTACTGTGTTCCTCCAACCAGCGAGGGAAGTGTCTTTTGAATTCTTGATCCATCTTGAGCATCCATCATGCAAACATTGACTTTCTTTGCAAGTAACACTTACAACAAAACCGACTTTCTCATAGCAAGGTTATTTTACAGCAAACCTCCTCCCACACGAACCGCCGGGTGTGTTGCTGAAGCGGGATTCAATGCGGTAGGGGTGGATTGTTGATCTCGGTCATGTCGTTTGGCACCATCGCTTGTGCCAGGTCGTGTATGATCATCATCGTCGTCTAACTCCAGGCCACGCCGCCAATCTGCTAATGTGCTTGAGCCAGGAGTGGTTGCGGAAGTTGGAGTACGCTCGTACTCAAAGCGATCGGAGAGACGATAATTTTTGTTCGTCGTTTCCCAATGCGTACGCAGCGCGTCCAATTCGCTGGCGAGGGAGTCCAGTGCTAGTGAATTTCGTCCCGCTTCACCGCCAGACTCGGCCCCAGCAGAGTATGTACTGTCACCACTGTTAGACAAGTTTCGGGTGTGGGTCTTGGTGAGATGGTTTGAGCCACCAGTAGCATCGCTCGCTTCACTGATGCTGGGTGGCCGCTGATGGACACTGCCGTTCAGCGTTGGAATTTCTCCTGGATCGCGCATGCGAGATTGTCGTCGGTAGTTGTCAACGCTCGATTCCACCTGATCCAGCAACAATTGAACCTTGTTTTCTGCATCCTTGGCCCGTTCTTCAAGGAGTGCATTCTCCTTTTGTAGCCGCTCCATGTCGGATCTTGACGTTGCCACGGTCGTCTGCAAAGCAGCAAGATCGCTTTGCGCGGACGCATGCGAAGTCTTGGCTCGTGTGAGCTCAGTCTGCGTGCTCTGCAGCTGCTCTTGCATCTTGGCGATGCGGCCTTCCATTTCTTCGACAGTGCTCTGCAGGCTGGAGTGCTGCTTGGACATCTCTTGTAGCATTTTCTCCCTCTCTGCTTCGACATCGTCGGAGGAGTGATTGCTGGATGTGCTCTTGGTCGATTCAATATCGTCCTTTGCCTTGTCAAGCTTCTTCTTCAGGTCCCCGTTCTCGTTCTTAACGCGCTGCATCTCCTGTTTCATCTTAGAGAGCATCTTCTCAGTCCCACGCAAGTACTTGACTGCGGCTTGATGGTCATTGTCCAGCGCTGCAAGTTTCTCCTCATACTCGCGCTTCATTTGTTCGCCTCGAACATTGATCTCTTCAAACTGTGCCTTCAGCTCCTCGTGGGCCTTGGAGTTTGCTTCGAGCTGCTGCTCCAGATCTCGGACGCGATGCAGGTCTGGTGTGCTGAAGCGTTGCATGCTTGGCGAATCCAGCGCGCGAGACCTGCGCTTCTCAGCTGGATTTATCCCACGTTCGTTCAAGATCTCCTTGAGCGATGCGTGCTGCACGGAAAGTGCGTTTGTCTCCAGCATGTGCCGTTCAAGTTTTTGTTCGAGCTCTGCCTTTTCAGCATTGAGGGCCTGGTTCTCCTTCATGGCGCCCTGCAACTGCTTCCGAATCGACAGGCCCTCGCGGCTGGCTTGCTCTTGATACGCCTCTAGCCCAGCAATGCGTTCTTCGGCACGTCGCAGCTTCTCGGCAGCAGAATCTGCGGCGGCTTGGTTCTGCCGGACCATGGCATTGGCGGCTTCGACTTGCTGCTGCAAAATCGCGACACGCTCATCGTGTGCCTCACCGTCACTACTGTCCCGCTGACTGATTTGGCCAAGGCCAGTGAGAACAGCTTCCCGATGAGTCCTCGCTTCTGCTGCGTGCTTCTCGGCAAGTTCTTCGGCATCTCTAAGTCGTCGAGTTGCGCTGTCAAGGTCAGTGATGCGCTGCTCATGCTGTGTCTTGAGCTCGCGCAAGCTCCTTTCGAGCTGGTCGCGGTTGTTGCGTTCTTCCTCAAGCTTCCGCTCCAAAAGCTCAGCTTTGTCGCCCGAAGCAGTGAGAGCCTCTCGCAGACTGATCAGTGTAGTCGTGTGATCCTTGCCCTCCGCTGTCAATGCGTCGAGCTTCTTGCTGAGCTCTTCCTTGTCAACAGTGAGAATCTTATGCCGGGTCAAGATCTCGGCAAGGCTGGCGGCAGCTTCGCGGTGGGCCTTTTGTGCTTCATGCAGTTCCGAACGCAGACTTTCGATTTCCGAAGTGTGCTGTTGCCGGTATGTGTCCAACTCTGCAGCGCGCTTCTGCGCAGCCTCTGCCGTGTCCTCTGCGAGCTCGCGAGCCTTCTTTTCTGCTTCGATCTCTTGGATCAAAGAGTCCATTCGGCGGCTGAGCTCAGTTTGCGCCTCCAAGGATGATGCAAGCCGTCTACTGATATCGTTGCTGCGATCGAGTGTTTTCGGTTCACCGTCTTGGCCGGCCAGCTTAGCTTTAGCGAAGACAGCTTCGTTGATCGCAACGTCTCGCTGCTTTTCAACCTCCGCAATACGCTCGGCAGCGTTTTTGCTCTGCTCTTCAATGGTCTCCTGCACCTTGGCAAGCTCTGATCGCATCCTCAACAAAGCTTCGATCAGTGGCTTGTCGTCATCTTTGAAGGCATCATTGACACGCTCATCAAATACCGGCGATTCTGTGACCCGGGATTGATATCCACATTTCTTGGCCAGGAGCAGCTCGGAGGCGTACCACGCGTTTTTCTGTCTTAGCAGCTCGATCTCTCGGGCAGTATCATCAATCTGCTGGTGGAAAGCCGGCGATGAGCCTATACCTGAATCCATGGGAAGTTCGCGTTCCTCTGATATCTGCCTGACCTTGGAGATCGGACCGCCATCCATGGAGGGTCTGGGTGTACCCTCAGACTTTGAGTGCTGCTGTCGGGAATCGTTCCGTGATTCGGTGCGCGATGCATTCCTGCCTTGAATGTCAAAAGACGTTTGTTGTTGTTGCTGTTGTGAAGGTTGATAGGTCTCAGGCTTCACGCCTGAAGGCTGTGAATACTGATCTCCATCTTCCTCAAAGCTTGGAGACATCGGCATCCCACGATCTCTCTGCACAGGTGAAGCTCGATGAGTCTCAGAGGTCATGACATTTTCCATCCCCTGCGGTCGCTCATTCTCGTTGGACGGGCTGAAGGCACGATCTGGCGTCCTCGAAGGTTGCCTGGCAACCGGTTGTGGTCCTGGTTGTCGTTGCGCAGGAGCTTGTGGAGGCGGGCCTACAGGTGCGGGTAATTGGCCTTGCGCGCGAGGAAGCCTTGATGCGCCGTCTGGTGAGCGTATGCGAGTGTTATCCCCATGCTCGCGGTCCATGAGCTCTGCTCTAGGTGGTCCCCGTCCTCGTGAGCCGGCACGATCATTACTAGGGTGTCTAGCCTGCTGCACTCTCTCATTCGGAGGTGTTTGCGTAGAGTCTGGCGGGTATCGTATCTTGCTCGTATCCAAAAAGTAGGCCAGTCCGAGCTCGACAGGATCTCTGGGCGCGCTACTAGGCTCACCTGCAAGAACCACAATCTGTTTTCCAACCGTGGTCATGCTGTGTCCAGATCTTGGGCTCGGGCTCGGGCCCATATTCTGGAAAGTGTACCATCTCCTTGAGCTTATTCGGAATGCCGCCAAATCGCCAAGATCATTGCCCTCCTCATTACGACCTCCGAATATGTACATTACATCTCCCACCAATGCCGCCGCATGTCCCTCCCGAGGCGACGGAATGTATCCTATGCAGTCCAACTGCACCCAAGAGTTCGATGCGGGCGAGTATGACCATACATCGTTGTACCAGTGAATGCCATCAGTACCGCCAAAGAGATATAGTCGATCTTGCCATGTAATAATGGTGTGATTCGTTCGAGCGGGTGGTATCTGGCCATGAGGAGGACCGCCGTCTATCGTGTTCTGAATAAGGATTTCCCATCTGTTGGTGGCTTGCTGTAGGGCATTGAGATCGAAGGCGACCAAGTCATTAAAAAAGTATCCTTCGACTTGACCACCAAAGATGTAAATTTTGCTGCCCAGGATGTTCAAAGTGTGGCCATAACGACCTGGCGGTCTCGGTCCCGCAGGCAAGGCTCTCGACCACTGCTTGGTGGCTGCACACGATCAGACACATGATGGCGAAGAACTCATCAGATGGGAGGGTGAACTTACAGGTGTTAAGCAGGTAGAGGGTGTCGTCCAGCATATCGCCCTCGTCCATTTTCGTGTCACCACCAAAAACGATAAAGGCATTGCCAACGAGCAAGCTGGCGTGGCCTACTCTTGGGCCTGGGCCTTCACTAGTGGTGGCTACTGGGAAGCAAGTCATGCTGCCTGTTGCTTGAGGGCCGGCTTCCACCATCCACAGATCGCCCTTCACGGTGCTTCCATTGATGAGACCACCCATCAAATATATCGAACCGTCCTTACTGGCACTGGCATTGACTGCAGCGCCGTATCGAGGGAAGGGATTCGAATGTGTGACTGTGAAGTTCAGCCTTCGCTGTGACCATGGGTATGGGGATGCAGGCTGATCCTGCGAAGGCCGCTGGCCCATTGGGAATCTCTGTTGCTGTCAAATGGTCAGTATGGCGAGCGCGACCATGTCTCTCGATTTCCATGTGCGACATACTGCATCTCGACTCGAGTCTCTTGCCTCGCGCAATGATTTCTGCTCTGGGCTCATGCTTAGCGGTGCAGCAGGTCTCGCGCCTTCCTCCTTGGTGGTCATGACCCGCTCATCCGGCGGCGGTCGGGATTGAAAAGACGGCTTCTCTGATAGCGAGCTCAAGGTCCCATTGACACTACCAGTGTGCGCGGGTGGCGGTGTCGGTGTCGGCGAGGCCGGCTTCGCGCCATTGGGCAGGCCATTCAATGTTGGTATAGCGCTTTGCGGGCCATCTCGCGAGAGGGTATCCCTCGTAGCGTGTAAGGATGGCGCATTTGGATTGGCAGGTCGCGGTTCGGGTGCGCCCTTCTTGGACGACTTGAATAGGAATGACATGCTTCGTGCGTCGGCGTGGGTGTCGGCGTCGGCGGCGGCGGCGGCGTGATGGCGATGGGTCGTGTAGGTGTATTTGCGCGATGCCAACGATTACAATTACTCGAGCGGCATGCAGGCTCCAGACGGCGCCGCCGCAGCAATGTCCAGTGTGCAGCAGGTCAGGGCGGCGGATGCGAGCTTGCGCGGTGTCCCCGTACCCTCATCCGCGTGCAATGGCGACGGGGCGGACGGCAGGATGGGTGGGCGAGGTGCGCGCGCGGCGCAGTGGTCGGCGGAGGGTGGTTGACGTTGTCGTGGGCTGGGCTGGGCTGGGAGGTTGGAATGCTGCTCTCCCTGAAGCGTGGAGCGTGGAGCGTGAAGCGTAAAGCGTAAAGCGCAAAGCGTATGAGATTGGCCGCTCCAGCACGTTTCCTGCCTGGGCCTGGCACTGAGACTACCGTGCTCCACCAGCACGAACAGTCACACGCAGTTAGTTGTACAACGCGCAGTGTGATGCCAGCGCTGTCCCACGTCTCTGTTGGTGATGATGATCGCTGTGCAACAAAATTCTGAAGATTCTAGGGGATTAACAGGATACGCCGATACGGATAGTGCAAATGGGGCCCATGCTTCCCGGCACAGAAAAGGCTATATCAAGCCTAATGCGATCGACGTTTGCGCTATCGATCCTGATTGCAAGCCTGAGGCCTCCATACTGCTGCCGTGCGATGATTTTCCTGGTAGACAGATGCATACTACAACGCTGCCGACCCCATCCAGCGTTTGTCGACGTTTCCTTTCCCAGACCCGAAGACCTGGTGCCACTTCTGTTCGAAATGAGCGTGCGGGTTCACGATGTCGGCTGAGGCCCGGCCGACCATAGCGGCGGTTTCAGGTGTGCAGTCGTTCAGCCTTCAGGGGCCTGCTGTCGATCTGCCCTTCCAAAAGTACACAAGCGCCGTGGACGTGGACGTCTTTTCCCACCTGCATCTTCCACCATCATCAATGCCTCGCTTGACACGCTCAAAGTCAGCGGCACGCGACCTACGAGGGCAGGCAAGGCAGTGTTTGCAACCACACGTGTTTGGCTCGTTCTGTATGATGCCGTGTGCGGCGCGGGGCCTTGACGCAGGACTTGAAGTCAAACGTGCTTCCTTGCCCTTGCAGCGAGCTCTTCGACACCACGACACCTCTTTGCAGCCTGAGATCTGCACAAGGGACGACCACATACGTATCTTGTTGTGCTCCTGGACAATCCTCAGCCCTCCGAAACTTCATCTCCACAGCGAGCCTCTTTTGCCTTTCCTTGGCCGTGGAGCTGGGACGGCAGAAAAGCGACTCGGCAGTGAGAACCTAGAAGCAGGGGGCAGCGCCTGTTCTGTCTGCCACTGAATTGAAAAGACGTCTTCTTCGTCTTGGAAGCAGCATCACCGATCTCCAAGAGCATGTTATTATTATTGCCAATGACCATAGCTGGCACAAGCAAGAACACAGTGTTGTCGCTTATAGAAGCCTGGTAGATAAAACCGTTCTCCGATCGAGGACCAGAATTTCAGACAAACATCCAGGATATGCCAGCCATCAAACACCCTTCCTTCTGCTTCTCCATCGGGCAACTGCCCTGATGCTTGTTCGTGGTCGAACTCATCAGAACAAAAACTTACCACTCCACTCCTCCTGCGGACCTGCACTGAAGACATGAATTATTCTCCAGGCCACCGGTTCTTGCTTATTAATATTACACCGTCACACACGCACCATCAGGCTGGCAGATGGCACGCGCTCAGACGCGACGCCGGCCAGCCAAGCTTTTCAACCTCCGCACGACCACATGATGAATCGCTCTTGCCTTGCCTCTACGGAGACATGAACACACGCTGAAGCTTGTTAGGGGCCGCGCTTGCTTTGGACTTCTGATCGTGACCATATACCGCTACGCCCCTCTGCAAGAGTCCAACAAGACGCGCTATTCATTGTCGGAAGACACAAAGTCCTAGCTCTGGACTCATCGATCTTCAGCCTTCCGAATATAATACGTGAGAGCATGCGGGATTCACGTTCCCTGTACATCTGAGTATTTAACACCGCAATCCCACAGCTAGACACCAATGCACACACTCTCCATGCAGCAAGCATTGAAAGCGGCACGGCACAATCGCAGCACACCATCTCAGCCGACTGCCGAAAGCACCTCAGCGCGCCTGTGACCTGCTGCATAAGCCACAGATTGTTGGTACATCCTATACTACAACCCCAGATGTGAGCATCCGCTAGTCTACCGCTAGAAATCTCCAATGACCGGTACATAGGTAAACCTTCTGGCACTCCATCATTCTACAACCGGGTATGGGGACACACTCAGGCTGTCACACTCAGTATGCACTCCCTGTCGCTGTCCATGCAGTCGGGCAGGAGGTCGGGAGGCTTGGCAGACAGCTACAACTACAGCTACAGCTAAAGCTACAGCTACAGCTACAGCTACAGCTCTCCACCTGAGAAGCGGGACTTGGGGAAGAACAGAGCTCGAATTCTCCACCCATGTTGCAATGCTCACAGGTGCGAATGACGAAAATCTTGCCTGGTAGAGTGGACCACACGACACGATACAAGCGGCTTGAGCATCTCGCCCTTCCCCACTGATATATCGACATTGCCCGTCAACGCAAGACGGACCACGTTGCTCGGCACAACCCGACACACTCCATTGTGAGCAGCACGAATGATCTGGAGTGGCGTGACCTCTCAGCACGTCTTCGGCCAAGGAGCACCTTGCCAGTCGAGTGCAGAAGTCTCTTGATACGTCACTGATGAATCTGACGTGTGTTCATCTTCTTGGCAAAACTACTTGCATTCGGTGCACGGTACTTCCGCGTCCGAAGAATGAGCACGAGGGCAATAAGTTGCATTGCTGATTTCGTCGGGTGATGTAGGCCGCAACATTACTTCCAGTGTCAAGGATGTTGACAAGGCAGCTTTCGGCGTCTGCGTGCTGAGGGATGACGGTCTCTCTATATCTCTCGTTCCCCACACATGAACTCATATTTTGTCGAGGCACAGCAACGGTCGGAGCCAGGACATGGACATGCCTTCGGTCTTATTGCTTCCGCAATTGAGAGCAAAAGAATATCTCAACACCTCGGTAAAGAAGATGCGACATTCCTGAGTGAGCGCAGAACTTGCCCCAATCCGGCGTCTGCGGGAATCCTTGTACAGCCGGCGAAAGAGGAGGCTGTGTGCAGAGTCACATCACACTACTACTGTGATGATAGCGGCTTCCATGCTTGCTGGTTCGTTGTCGTCCGCAGAACTTGCCCCAATCCGGCGTCTGCGGGAATCCTTGTACAGTCGGCGAAAGAGGAGGCTGTGTGCAGAGTCACATCACACTACTCAATAATGTCGAGACATGTTCCTGAGAGGACAAAGAGACTGTTGGCCAAGGTCGCGTGCTCAGCTCAGCCATGATGTACCTGCAAGCTTGTCGAATTAGCGCTAGAGCATTCCTGTTCTTTGATACGCCGAATGACGAGCTTGTTGTAGGAGCCAATAGTGCCAAGCTTCCTTCATCAGACACAAGTAGAAAAGCTGGCGGGAAAAGTGGTGTCTGTTATAGGGAGTATGCTCATGAATTGCAGTGTTGGGGCTGATGGTGTAGTATTTGGTGAGAGGAGGAAGTATTACTGCATAGTATCGTGTCTTCGCTTAGCGAGTCCGCGCGATGTAGTAGAAGCCCGGGCGAAAGTTCGGGAAGCAAACAAGCGGCGGAGTGGAGTGGAGACGAAACTTGAAAGCATCCCGTCTCATCTCGCGCAAGTCGCACGCGACACTCCTTACTGAACCTTCAGCTGCTACGCTGTAACCTTCTCCGCGACCTCACCAAATTCTACTCACACACACCACACACACCTTTGGCTTCACTTTCTTGCATTCTATTGTTTTGGGCACATCTGTACTTCCCTTCCCTTCCCTCCGAAGGCTTATGCCGTCGCATTTCGGCCTCTCCGCAGCCACGACCCCGACCCCGAGGCCGACAGACGCCAACCAGAAAGACCAGTGTTGTTGATACGTCCTGGCTGGGCAATATGGATTTCGTGCACGGCAATGCCACCGCTCCGGACTTGGGGACGCCGCAGTCGCAGGCGCGCGCATGGTTTGAGCCTTTGGTGAGCATCTTCTGCGTGGTTGAGGCCGAGGCCTGCATCCGGCAATACTGACCATCTTGCCAGTTGGTCCTGACGATCATGTCTGTTTCGCTATACATGAACCGAGATCGAAACTTTCGAATAATACCGAACCGAAGAGACGACTCGAGCGAATCTCTTATGAAGAGCCACAGACATGAGTACGAAGATAGTAGTTCATCGTCCCGATCAACGAGTCCGGATCGACCGAAGACCAGTGTAGACCTTCAACCGCGATCGTCGAGGAGCGACTCTGATATCAACTTCCCGAGCCGCATACTGCAGCGACTGCCGTTCCTGGTGGAGATGCTGTATTGGGTGCTCAACTATGTTGCATATGCTTTGACAAAGAAGATCGGCGCAGGGATATATTCAAGATACGGAGGCAATGGAGTGACTGAGCTGGCTCAGCAGCATGGTATCGACATCCTTACCCTCGAACACAACACCATCTTCAGCGTCTTTTTCCCCGTCACCGAAGTTGACTTTCAGCGGTTCTTCCTCAATGGACACACATCCTTCATCACCATCTTCAACCAGTTTTACTCTCTTGTGCACATCCCAGGAACTGTCGCGTAAGTAGTCCGCGCATCACTTTACTACTGTTTCGGACGTGCTCCTGACACTTTCTAGATTCATCTCCTGGTACTACTATGCTGCACCGAGCCACGACATCTTCGCCATTGTCCGACGAACCATGACCATGGGCAACTTCGCAGCCTTTATAATTTTCTCCTTCTGGCCCTGCATGCCACCACGACTTCTTCCAGACTCGTTTGGCTTCAAGGATACCGTGCGACAAGAGCATGCTGAGAGTGTGTGGGTCGGTGGCGCAAATGTGAATCAGCTGGCAGCCATGCCAAGCCTGCACTTCACATACGCATTCATCATCGGCGTCACATTCCTCTACCACTCTGGTCTCTTCCATATGTTCCGTGGTCGCCGCACCGGAAAGCCACCCATCGTCAGCTTTCTCTGGATCGTCGCTGGCATTCTATACCCAATCTTTGTTCTCTCCATCATCGTCGCCACCGCGAACCACTATTACCTGGACGCCGTCGTCGCGACTTTCTCCGTCGGCCTCTCATTCCTGGCCAACAGACTCTGGCTGGTACTACTCCCAGTAGAAGCATTCATCTGCCGTCTCCTCCACCTCAGGAAACCTCGACCGAGTACCCGACAAGCAGTTCCCAAGGAGAAGCCACAAGTCGTCGTTACGGACTGGGCATGATGATTCAACCTCGTGGCATGTGTGCTTCAAAACAATCAGATCAAGAACATTGTGTGTGTGTGTAAGTGTTTTTCATGCATTGCGTTGGATGGGGCATGGCGTATACTGTACCGGATGAAACCTGGCATCTGACACGTGGAAATTGAAACCCTGGATGTCGAAAAAAAGCGACCTTCTTCGAACGACTCAGCCGAGACCAGACTTTTTAAACTAAATTGGGTTGTACATAGGCAAGAAGCAGCATTACTTACCTCGTTCTCTTGAAGAAACGGCAGATTTGTGTGTGTGTGCGGGTGTGTAGATATGCATTGCACAGTACAATAGAGATGAGAAGTTGACAAGTTTGCCTTTTCTTTTTCACCTTTTTTACTTTTGCGATATGTGGATGTGGATGTGGGCAAGAGATGGTGATCTTCTTGTGATCTTTCTTTCCAGCACGCTGCGTTGATGCCAGCTAGGAGCACAACACCGATGAAGATGGAGGAAGGAAGGAAAGGGCGGTCCTTCGTTCAATTTTGGATCCTTGGTGAGATCTTTGCGTGCCTAGTGGGTACCGGTGTGATGGAGATTGTATCACGAGGAGAAAGAGAAGTCGGTTCGCGCGTCATTTGATTTGGTGTTTATAAGAGAGGCTGGCTAAGAGCAGTTACAATAGTACTTGGACTATCTGATCTAAGGTCGCTGAAGAAAATCCTATTGCCTAGAGAGAAGGAAATTTTACTTACTATTCGGAGTCTAGGACTTTTCGACGAAAGAAACTTAAGGAGTGGAAGGACCTTCTAAAGATCCTAAGGTATCCCCAACTAGCTAGCTAGCTAGCTACACAAAACCGATCTCTGAACACCCCTAACAATGCACATTGTGTCCCCCCCCCCTCCCATCAAACCTTCCCCTCCACACTCTCCTCCCTCCTCTCCACCTCCTCCCCCCTCTTCCCCTCCCCCTGCTCCAAAGCCAACGCATGATGATACTGCACCCTCGTCCTCCACGGCCTCGTCCCAATGCCCGGAATGCCGTTCGGATCCTCAAACATCACCTCCGTCTCCTCCAACGTCTTCCCCGCCGTCTCGGGAAAAAGCAAGGCGGAATGCACCAGCATGCAAAAATTAAAAACCCCGAACACAAGATACACTTTCCAACGAATGTTGACGAAAGCCGGGGGCACGAAGGCTCCCAGCGCGCAATTGAAGGCCCAGTTCGCAGAGGTGGAGAGCGCGACTGCTTTGCCGCGGACGCGGAGCGGGTAGAGTTCGGGTGGGTAGACCCAGGAGACGGGGCCCCAGGTGGGGGCGAAGGAGGCGACGAAGAGGTAGGTTGAGGCGATGAGGCCTTTGGCTGGGGCGCCTTGGAGACGCATGGAGACTGCTGCTACGCCGCCGACTCCTCCTGGCACGATTTCTCCGCGGCTGGCGAGGATGCCGGCGTTGGTGAACATCCAGACCATCATGAGGAAGGCGCCGATTATTAGGGTCGGGCGACGGCCCCATCGGTCGAGCCAGATTAGAGCTGGGACGGTCATGAGCACGTTGATGATGTATTGGATTGAGGAGGCCAGGAGGTTGGCGTTGCCGCTGTAGCCGGCCATGGAGAAGACGTAGGTTATGTAGTACACTTTTTTTTAAGAGGGTTAGTTTTTGTTTGTGTTGGAATACTGGAGGGATTTGGTGGGCTTACTCATGACGTTCATGCCGGTTAATTGTGACCATATCTGGGTGAAGACGCCAATGTGTGTTCTGTTAAGGAGTTTTGGTGTGAGGAGTTCCCAATATGTGACGTCGGAGTTTCGGGCTTCGAATTGGCACATTTCGCGGATGTCGTGTAGTTCTTGGGATACGAGAGGGCTGTCTGGGTTGCCTTTGCCGTGGACGAGAGTCAGCACGGCTTTGCAGTCCTCCCAGCGATCTTTGCGAGCGAGCCCTATAGCAGGTTGTTAGGGGTGGCCACTCTCGACGAGGTGGGTAGGGTACTTACAACGCGGCGACTCGGGCAGGAAGAACATGGCGAAGAACAATAGCACGGCCGGAAGCATTTGAAGTCCCCATGGCAAGCGGAAGACGGTGGTACTGTAATTATCCACATCCTGACCGCCCACAAAAGATGCGCCGTAGGAGATGTAGTAGAGAATTAGGATTCCCCACGTGATGGCCCACTGCTGGAAAGCCACCAATCGACCACGTTTGCTCGGAGGAGCGATTTCGGATACATATACGGGGACTTGAGCAGATTCGATGCCCACACAGAAACCGTTGATGACGCGCCCGACGATGAGCATACCGATGTTCTGCGATGCGCAAATTATCGTCGAGCCAACCACCCAGATCACGCAGCCGATCATGATGGACTTCTTCCGGCCGAAGATATCGGAAAGGTAGCCAGACACCAAAGCACCCAGCCAGCTGCCACCTGGCATTGAAGCTGTAATTCCTCCTTGAACGCTGGCGGTTGGTCCGGAGCATTCATTGCTGTCGTCATATCCAGGCCCGCGTGGACCTTGGTTGAAGTAGCATTTGTAGGCGGTCGTGCCCAGAATTGCGGACATGGACGAGATGTCGAAGCCTGTGTTTTGCCTCCTGTATCAGAACTAGCTCACTCACATGATGCCGGCGGGCGGGCAGCTCACCAAAGAGACCACCGCCGATCACGGCCACAGCCGTAATGGCGTAGATGTTTCCAACTTGAAAGCCCATGATGATACCAGCTCGCTGGTTCCAACGAGCGAGAGGAAAAAATCAGAAACAAGAGCTGCTCGAGCAGCCGGGGAGGCACAGGGCATTTCAATCCTGTAGTTCTAATGCTCCCCTTGCTGGAGCTTGAGCCTTGAGCGACGGTCGTGCAGCGTCCATCGTGACCTCGCGTACACTGCTCCTTTACATCCAAACAAAACGCGGCCGCCGCTCTCTCCCTCCACGTCGGGACTGCTCAAGGGCATAGAATACTGGATGGCCAGGCTCCATGGCATCAATCAAAAGATTCACGGACCGCGCAGCCCGTCTTTCGCCCGAATCCTGTCCTTGAGGCTTGGTGGTCACGAATAACGCCAAGAGTACAAGCAATGCGTCCTTGTCGCAGCCATGCGAAATTGCGAGTGCGAATGCGAATCAATCCTGATGCGATGCGGGGTTCCCGAAGAATTTCGCGAATCGAATCGTCAGGCGTATGAGGTTGCATGGTGATTGGGCGTCTTCCAGGTTCCTCCGCCCATTCAGCGTGTCTCCGGAAATCGTCGCCATTCCCCACACCGTCACAGAACTACCCCAGGACTTTCCGGGCCAGCCACGTTTTTTCTCCACCTCCACTTCGCGACACTGCTTGACGTTTCAAGAAGCCGAATGAAATCACTTCACCGGGACTTCTAAATGAAAACTCATATCGTCGCATTTGGTGGACGGACTCGGGTGCGAAAAAGATCACAATCGGGATGGATGGATGGACATGTCGTGATTGATGCTCAGCTGTACCGACGCAGCTGTCTGTGCCTGGTCTGTGATGAAGTGATTGGCCGCGGCACAGCAGCTTTCCGGGACGCAGGCAGGCAGGCAGGCAGGCAGGCAGGCAGGCTTATTGCTGCACAGAAATTCGGCGCTTGGAGATGTGACAGGTCGATAGGTCGATCAGACTGACACTGACATTGGAAGAAGACTGCTGGGCCTATGATATTCTTCCCGATGATGGATGGTGCAGTCGACATTCGTGTCGGAGTGACTTCAGCAAGAACAAAGGCCTCAGGCAATCGTGACACGTCGCTCAGGAATGGGAGGATCGTGCGCCTTTGAAGATTTCGTGAAGAACCAGAGAGAGGTCGCGGCGTTGCGATGCGATGCTGACGTTGGAAAGAAGGTAGGTATCTTCGGTCGGGTGAGGAAAAAGTAAGTCTTGTCATCGGCGACGCACGCACTGCTTTTATATGAGTGTGGTGGCTGGGATTGACTCGAGCTGACACGGGCTTGCCTGCCTTCCGACCATCCGAAGATCGATACGAAGCGCTCGAAACAACACGACATCATCAAGCTATATTTGAGCGTGTCAATTGCTTGCGTGAGCTCTTCAAATGCTCGGCCCACTCTGGGATATATCTGGCAAGCCATCGTCAATGACATTCTCATATCTATGTGCGGAATTCAGCTCATCCCTTTACATCCTCAATCGCCTCTTGTTTGCACAACGCTACGATGCACCTGAATCCCCAATCTCATATCTGCTCCCGTCATATCCTGAAGAATATACTCTTCACTCCCCGTCCCGGAGTCCCCAGAAGGTTTCCTACAAGTCCCAAGCTGACTACTCGTCACCGCAGTTTTCATCTTGCCCGGAGAATTCCCACCGCTGTATGCCGGCGGAGGATCCATGAACCCGCTCCCAAACCCATTCTCCAGCCTTCCTCTGCTGTGACCACGACCATAACCCTCGGCAAGCTTCATCCCAGACCCATTGGCGCTGTCTCCTAAATGGAACATTTTGCGGAATAAGGGTCGAAGGGTTGATATGCAGCCGACTATGAATCCTACTCCGTTTTCGGCAAAGCCCCAGATTAATACGTCCGCGACGCTGAAGAGGTAATCGTCACTGCTGTTGAGATTTACGGTGTATTTGAGGCGGATGCATGCTGATAGAGAGGCTAGCACACCAAGCGACAGGAGGAATCCGACCGAGATTTTGGAGTTGGTGTTGAGCTTTAGGTCCCAGAGTAGGGGAATGGGACTACGTAACATCAGCTCGACTGTCTTGGACGGGATTGAGGAAGGATGACTTACATCAGTGCACAGAACCAGTCTGTGATGATATTCACGGCTGTATCGGCGTAATAAATGTCGGCCAACTGTGTGCTTGGTAGACAGCTACCGCCGGGCTGGGTTGTGTCCCAGGCATAGCTGACTGGGTTGCAGCGGAAGATGATGTAGAAGAAGCTGATCAGGTTCATGATGATGAAAAAGGAGGACATGGCCCAGAGCGCGTAAATATAGTTTCTCTTCGGTCCGGCAACTCTTATCAGCATGAAAGAGATGCTGAGCTTGATGGGAATGATCGCTAGGCAAAAGAAGCATTCGAAGAAGAAGAACCACTGTTGCAGACATGAGTGCGTGCTCGAATTCGCTATGATGTGATCGACGTTGCTTACCATCATTGCCGTCTCATTCTGAGCAGCTGTAAGTTTCCATTTATGCACTCCTATTCCCAGAAACGAACCTCCCAGGCAGAAGACGCTGAGAGCTCCATATGGTATCAAGGCAAAGGTCATGGACCAGTCGTCCCATCCCCAAGCGTTTCCCTTCACTCGTGTATACACTCGCATCGGATACACGATGAGGGAGATTGCAGTCAGGATAATGATCGTGGCTGCCACATTTGGCGCGTTATCTTCGAAGACGACTTTCGTCATGGCTGTGGTCGGATGGGTCGAAAGCACAAGGGTGGTACAGTTATTCTTGTGGTTTTATGCCAGTCATGCCTGATCCGCTGTGGCCTACACTAGCACCAGATGGTACGTATGTAGCTGAGCGATAACTCCAAACTCCAGACGAAAGTAGCAACGAAATGCAACGAACAGATAGAGGTCAACGAAAGGTTGTTTGAAGTTGAGTGAAGGCAGAGAGATTTTGCTTGCCAAGAGCGAAATGCTGCAGTCCCGTCTCCATCGATCAATCCACGCGGTGCACGGTACCTGCATGATGCATAGACCATGTTCGCGACTCCATCAAAAGGATTCCTTTTACCACCTTTGCAGCATCGCTCCGAAGCGCCACGCTCCCGCTGACGGCTCTGCAGCAACAACAGGTGGAGTCTCAAGCTCTGAACAAGCATGATGTGGTAAGAGCAACAGCCGCCACGGACCCATTGTGACCACAAATGGAAGGACGCCAGAATTGCTGTGGGCACGGCTATGTCCCTTGGCGCTTGTCAAAAACCGACCGGTGCGGCGCAGGGGAGTGAAGGGAATGGTTCTTGCAGAGATCCATAAATTTCGCCCCGCTTTTTCCGTTCTCCAGCATGCGAGATGAAGGAAAATTTGGTTGCAGTGTCGGAGGAAACGAAGAAGCTGCGTTGAGAATCGAGATGGCATGAAGACGCTCGGATGCGACGCGCACGCGCACCAATCGGAGTTGATCGACGACAGGTTTATTTTCGACGAGAAGAGATGGGATGGATGGACGGCAGCAGCAGCAGCAGTCACCTGCGGCACGACAATTGTTATCGTCAAGACGCGGTGTTGTGCAGAAAAGCACAGTGTCCACTCCGAAATTTCGTTTCCAGTGGATTCGGTCCGACCGGCCCGCGCAAGTCTCCGAACGAGTGCCGAAAGGAGCCACAGCGGCTGCAGTCTCGGGCGTAGAGACTACTTTAGTATACTGTACTCTTTCTATATCTCGCTAAAAGAAGTTATTGAATTGGTATTGGGAATGAAAATACTATCTTTCGTAAAAAGTATAAATCAGTCTCTTATTATTTCTAGATAATACTTTTTGTTTAGAATAATTTATTTCCTAGTATAGATTAAATATAACGGAGACCTTATATTCGAGGTAACTACGAAGTCGCGAACAACTATCTAAGAGGTCGTAGGGCCTAAGTGTTTAAATAGGGATCTAGAGGTACTAAGCTACGGTATAGCCTATACTAGGCTTTTATATATTAGAATTCTAAAAAAAGGGCTTCCCCTTAAATTTGACCCCCCCCCCCCCCCCCCCCCCCCTTTAAAGCGGTCGCATCCCTAAGACCTTCTTTTAATCGTATAACTGCAGTTACATTCTAAACTGTGTCTTCCTTGCTTTCCGCGGCGCCGGCGTTATCTAAATACGCGCTAGTATACGCCGACGTTATAGACTTAGTAATACCTACCTTATTTACTAACCGCGCCTTCTACCGCGTAGTATCCTTACCTAAGGCAAGATAGCTAGTAACAAGATATAATAGGTTTGTATACGCTTCTATAAGTATAGTAACCCTAGTATTATTATAATACTTACTCTAAGTAGGTATAAGACCCCCTTTATAGAGCGTAGAAGACTAAATAGTCGTACGGGTTATAGATCGGGTAACGCGGGCATACTAAGTGTTAGCTAAGCTAGTCGCAGCATCGCTACCGATAATAGCATTAATAGGCTTAGTAGCCGTTGTCTCTTTCGTTACTTCCTCGTACGGTACCTAGTCCTTCGGCGGCTAGAAGTTCGCTAGTTTAGACTTGTTTAGGTAGTTATAGTAAAAGTCCGCAACTAATATACGAGCATTTTTAATTACTACCTTAGAGGGCTCCTATATTACCTCTATATCTAAGTACCCTTTCTACTAAACTAGATATTTTAAGCTCTTTCTGTTTCCTCTAGAATCTAATATCCGCTTAACCTCGTACTTATCTTACGGTCGATTATCCTCGCCTATAACTTTAAGAGATAGCGGGCATACGGTATAATTACTGTAATAGGGTCGTAGATATCGCGGGTAGAAAGAGTTATAAACTCGAATACGCGAGGGAAGGTCGACCTTATAGGCGCTATTTAGATTATCTATAATAGTAACTAGTCCGTACTAACGAATATCGAACTTCTTCGAGGGTCGGGTCGTTTTCTAGTTCGTAGTACTAATATATATCTTGTCTCCTACGCTATAGCGAGGAGTTAGCATACGATGCTTATTAGCGTTATTAGATTGTATAACTTATACGAGGTTTAACTATTCTCGGAGGCACGAGTAAACTTCCGATATACGCTTAGCGAAACGGTTAGTAGAGGCTATATCTAACCGCTGCTTAGTTAGTAAGAGCTTCGCTAGAATGTCGAGATTAAGGTTAATACGAGGGTAGCGGCCTTTCTCTATATAGAATAGGGATATACTAGTAACCTTAGAGATATAATTGTTCTATACTATTTCCGCGAGCGGGTAGAGATCTACCTAGTTATCTTAGGCGTAGTTTATATAGGCGTAGACATACTTCTTAACCTCCTTGTTAGTGTTTTTAGACTAACTGTCCGTCTTAGGGTAGAAGGCAGTCGACAACCGTTGCTTTATACCTAATAGTTAATATAGGCGCTTCTAGAAAGCGGATACCTACTATAGTCCTCGGTCGGATATTAGGCCTGTCGGGAGGCCGTAGTGCGGATAACAGTACTTTAAGAAGATATAAGCTATATATTCGGCTTCTATCGATAGTATAGGTAGCAGGTATACTCCTTTTGCTATACGATTAGTAATAGTATATATATTCTTATATATTTGACTATCGTACGACCCTATAGACGGTAGGAGCTATACGATAAAGTCTGTGGCAATTTTATCCTATAGATTAAAGGGTATAGGTATAGGTCGTAAGAGACTAGAATACTAAGTCTAATTAGGCTTTGTCGTACGGCATATATAGCATCTTTATACGTATTCGCGGACGAATTGCGACATGCCGGGCTAGACGAAGTTCTAAGACACTAGATCGAACGTCTTAGTTCGCCCTAGATAGCCGGTACTAGGTATATCGTAGTATGCTCGTAGAATAGTATTATATAGGTCGTAGTCGCTAGGAGGAATAAATACGCAATAACCTCCGTAACGGTTCTTAAGATATACTAACCCTCTAACCTCGACAGTATCTTACTCGTTTATACGGTATTTGCGTAGAATAGTTACAGGCTTACGTTCTTCTAACTATACTATTATCTTCTTTATAGCGTCGCTCGTATAGGCCTTACGTATAGTACTCAAAATCGCAGAGTCTTAATAAGGTTGTAAATTAGGAGTAGCTATAATCGTAGCGGCGATTAATCGGTCTAGTATAAGAATAGTGCGCACCTGCTATACTAGTCGTAGGTCTTTCTTATCCTACGGTTTGTCTTAAGGCCGCCGAGTTAAAGCGTCGGGTTTAGTACCTTAGGTACTAGGACGGTATACAACCTTAAAAAAGAACTAAGAGAGGAATTTAGCCTATCGGGCCTACCGGCGATTTAGCTGCTTACTACTTATAAAGTATTTAAGGTTCTTATAGTCGGATAGTACTAAGATTAGCTTTCCTTTAGCATTAGAGAGATTCTTAAACTCTGTACCGTCGGTAAACTCGTAAGCTATTAATTCCGGCCTCTACTCTTCGAATACCTTAACTATAGCTATTAGCTCCTTATCGTAGATGTCGTAATTGCACTCCTACGGGTTTATCTTCTTAGATAAGTATGCGATAGGTCGAAGCATATTATTAGTGCCTCTCTATAATAGTACCGCTATCGTTACAAAGTCGGATATATTAGTCTCGAGTATAGTTTCTAGACTAGGCTAAAAGTGCGCGAGGACCGGAGCTTCTATAAAGGCTCTTTTAAGAGTATCGAAAGCTGTTTAGTATTCCGGTAACTAGTTCTACTTCGGTATATCCTTAGTACGAGTAAGCTACGTTATAGGAAGTGCGATACGCGAGAAGTTACGGACAAAACGCCGGTAGAAGTTAGCAAATCCGAGGAAAGAAAGCATATCTTTTACATTCTTCGGGGCTTCCTACTCCTAAATAGCGGAGACCTTCTCTAGGTCTATACGTATACTATCCTTACCGATAACAAGCCCTAGGTATTTCGTCTCTTAAACGTAAAACTCGCATTTGTTAATATCGAGTTAAAGACTAGTATCTAGTAGTTTCCTTATAACCTTCTCGATATACTAGCAGTACGCTTCCTCGTTATCCGAGAAGACTAAGGCATCGTCGAGATAGGCGGATACAAAGTCGTCGAGGAAGTCGCAAAGAGCGTCGTTAATATACGACTAGAACGTACTAGGAGCGTTATAGAGCCCGAAAGGCATTACTAGATATTTAAACTGTCTATAACGCGTCGTAAAGGCCGTCTTCTATTTATGCCTAGTAGCAATATAGATGCGGTTAAAAGTAGTAATAACGTCTAACTTAGTAAAGAACTTCTTGCCGCTAATCCGGTTAAGGGTATCTTAAATTAGAGGGATAGGATATCTGCTTTTTATAGTAAGCTCGTTAAGTACTCGGTAATCGATATATACGCGTAGCCCCCTACTCGGCTTCTTAACGATTATAACGGGCGAAGCGGCGGGTAAGTTACTACGCTATATATTGCCTTTCTCGAGCTAGTTATCGAGCTACTTCTTAACAACTGCGTTTTCTAATGCTAATATAGGGTATAGGCGCTTATACGGAGGATTACCTTTCGTAACGATCTTATAGTCTATACTAGGTCGGTAAGAGGGTAGTTTAGACGCTTCTCTACGGACAAAGAGCTAAGCGAGGTAATAATATCTCTTAGGAAGTTTGCGTAGCACTTCTTCTATATTGTCCTATTCGGCCTCGGTCTTAGCTATAAATTTCTCGTAGTTAGAGATTAATATAGCGCAGTTGTTTAATTAAACGGCGCCTTGCTCGGCGATTGAAATATA